TTGAGCCTCAGTGCTCTCATAGAACAAAGTGAGCCATGATGGTGCCACTGCACTCCAACCTCAGTGACAGAGTGAGACTGGTCTCTCAAAAAAGTTGTGCAGAGACCGGGCACGGTGGCTCACGCCTATAATCCCAGCACTTTGGGAGGCCGAGGTGGATGGTTTGACTGAGGTCAAGGAGTTTAAGACCAGCCTGGCCAACATAATGAAACCCCATCTCTACCAAAAAAAAAATAAAGTAAAATAAAATTAGCTGGGTGTGGTGGCGGGTGTGTGTAATCCCAGATACTAGGGAGATGGAGGCAGGAGTATCGCTTGAACCCAGGAGGCGGAGGTTGCAGTGAGCTGAGATCGTGCCATTGCACTCCAGCCTGGGCAACAAGAGTGAAACTCCGACTCAAAAAAAAAAACCAAAAATGTTTGAAGAGAGTCCCTATCAGAGCAATAGGAATTCTGCTAAAATTGAAGCAAAAAAGCATCAAATGTCTGGTGAAGCTTGGGTACAAGAATGGTGAAATCATTGATGCTTTAGGAAAAGTTTATGGGACAATGCCCCAAAGAAATCGGTAGCTTAAAATTGGTAAATTTTGTGTGTGTGTGTGTGTGTGTGTGTGTGAGACAGGGTATCCTATGTCAACCAGGCTAGGGTGCAGTGAGGAAGTGGCATGATCATGGCTCACTGTAGCCTTGACCTCCCAGGCTCAGGTGATCCTCTCACCTCAGCCTCTGAAGTAGCCAGGACTATAGGCACACACCAGACAGCTGGCTAATTTTTCTTTTTTTTTTTTTTGTAGATATGGGGTTTTGCCGTATCGCCCAGGCTGGTCTCAAACTCCTAGGCTCCAGTCATCTGCCAGCCTCAGCCTCCCAAAGTGGTAGGATTATAGGCATGAACTATGATGCCCAGCTGGATAAATTGTTTCAGGAAAGGTTGAGACGATGTTGAACATCATGCCCTCCACATTAATTTATGAGGAAAAAAATTCATCTTGTTTTTGCCAATTCAAGAGGACTGACAAAAAAAGCAGAAACAATAGTCAATACTGTGGTCATTTCAATTGGTTCAGCTTACAAAATTCTGACTGAAAAATTAAAATTAAGCAAGCTTTCTACTCACTGGCTGTTAAAACCCTTTGCACCTAGATCAGCTGTAGACAACAGCAGAGCTTTTGATGGAAAGTCTAGACAAGTAGGATCAAGATCCTAAAGCACTTCTTCGAAGAACTGCAATGGGAACTGAAACATGACTTTACCAGTACAATCCTGAAGACAAAGCACAATCAAAGCAATTTAGCAGGGCATGATAGCATGTGCCTGTAGTCCCAGCTACTAGGGAGGTTGAGGCTGCAGTGAGGCAAGACCACGCCATTGCACTCTAGCCTGGGCAACAGAGTCAGATATTGTCTCAGAAAAAAAGGGTACTAAGAGGTGAAAGTGGTCAAGTGATCCAGTGAAAGGAAAAGTAGACTGGTCAAGAGTAAAGGTCATGGCAACAGTTTTTTGGGATGCTCGAGGCATTTTGCTTGTTGAGTTTTTGGAAAGCCAACAAATGATAACATCTGATTATGAGTGTTCAATCAAAGTCAAAGCTTTAGCAGAAAAATGCCCGGGAACGCTTCACTAGAGTCCTCCTCCACCATGACAACACTCTTGCTCATTCCTCTAACCAGACAAGGGCAATTCTGCAAGAGTTCCCATGGGAAATCATTAGGCATCCCGCTTACAGTACTGATTTGGCTCCTTCTGACTTCTTTTTGCGTCTTAATCTTAAAAAAATCTTTAAAGAGTACCAATTTCTTTTGGTCAATAATGAAAAAAACAGTTTGAAATGGTTAAACGGACGCTCAGTTCTTTGGGGATGGACTAAATGGCTTTTATCATTGCTTACAAAAGTGTCTTGAAGTTGATGGAGCTTATGTTGAGAAATAAAGTTTATGTTTTTATCTCTTAACTCCACTTTTCCATGACCTTTCTGAAGCGGTCAATTATTTATATTATGTACAATCTTTACCACCATCCCTCTCTATAACTTTTTCACCTTCCCCAACTGAAACTCCATCCCCATTAAACACTAAAGCCTATCCCCACTACCCTCAGTGTCAGGCTCAGGCAATCCTCCCACCTCAGTCCCCTGAGTACAGGCACACAACATCATGCCTAATTTTGTATTTTATTTATTTTTGAGATGGAGTCTCACTCTGTCATCCAGACTGGAGTGCAGTGGCACAATCTCTGCTCACTGCAACCTCTACCTCCTGGGTAGCTGAGATTACAGGGGTATGCCACCACACGTGGCTAATTTTTTGTATTTTTAGTGCAGACAGGCTTTCACCACATTGGTCAGGCTGATCTTGAACTCCTGACCTTAAATGATCTGCCCACCTTGGCTTTGGCCTCCCAAAGTGCTGGGATTATAGGTGTGAGCCACTGCATCTGGCCATAAACATTGCCACTGAGACTAGAAAACCATCACAGAATACCGTATTCTGAATGACACACTGCCCATTGATCTACTACTGGCATATTTAAGATCTCTAATGTGCCTTTTCACTCCGTAAAGAGGCCAAATGCCGTTTGATGATACTGGGGCACATAGTGTAGCTAAAAGCAAAGCAATGCATTTTACAATGCTGTAAACGAGAGAAGGTCTAATTGCTATTGAAAAAGTTTTCAGGGTTCAAGTGTGTATCTGTTTTTTATTTTTTTTAAATTTTGAGACGGAGTCTCACTCTGTCGTCTAGGCTGGAGCATAGTGGCCGGATCTTGGCTCACTGCAACCTCTGCCTCCCAGGTTCAAGCAATTCTCCTGCCTCAGCCTCCCGAGTAGCTGGGACTACAGGTGCATACCACCATGCCCGGCTAATTTTTGTATTTTTAGTAGAAACGGGGTTTCTCCATGTTGGCCAGGCTGGTCTCAAACTCCTGACCGCAGATGATTCGCCTGCCTTGGCCTCCCAAAATGCTGCAACTGCAGGCATGAGCCACTGCACCTGGCCTCAAGAATGTATCTGTACGTTTTAGTCAGATGGTACAGGGACAGCTAATGGTAGGTAAGGTCAGGTGGCTTAGGTAACCTGTGTGTGATGATTAGTACTTTTTTGTGTGTAGGTGAAGAAAAGGACAGATCTCTTGAAACTGTTTAGAGAATTTTGGCAATCTCCAGGGAAACATTCAACTTCTTATAACTGAAAAATGTATGTTAAGGGGTAAGGAAACTAGAATTCAAAACAGTAACGATAACAGTTGGGCATTTATTTTGTACTAGGCCTTTTGCTAGGTGCTTTCTTTATATTTACTGATCCATTTAATTCTTAGAGGAACCCTTTAAGATACATATTGTCATACTAATGAAAAAGGGAAGCAGAGGTTCAATAAAAGTCCAGGTTTGAGAAGAAAGTCATGTAAAATTTGCCCCTAATACTGGCTTTCATTACTACACTTACTAGTTAATGGAAACAGAAGTGAGTAGGAGAAACACACTAGTACTCAGATCAGGTTTGAGCCTTCTGGATCAGACGCCATGAGAGGATGCAAAAGGTTGCCAAGAGGGCACTTAGATGATGTAGAAATTTAATAGTTCAAAATTTCAGAATTTCATAAATGCTAATTTTTTTGTTTTTTTTGAGATGGAGTCTCACTCTGTTGCCCAGGCTGGAGTGCAATGGCGCAATCTCTGCTCACTGCAACCTCTGCCTCCTGGGCTCAAGCAATTCTCTTGCCTCAGCCACCTGGGTAGCTAAAATTACAGGTGCCCATGCCCATGACCAGGTTTTTTTTTTTGTATTTTTTTGTATTTTTAGTAGAGACGGAGTTTCACCATGTTGGCCAGGTTGGTCTCAAACTCCTGACCTCAGGTGATCTGCCCGCCTTGGCCTCCCAAAGTGTTGGGATTACAGGTGTGAGCCACTGGGGCCCAGCTCATAAATGACAATATTTTAAATGTTTTTATACATATGCTTCAGTGACTTTTTTTTTTTTTTTTTTTTGGAGACAGAGTCTCCTTCTGTTGCCCAGGCTGGAGTGCAGTGTCGCAATCTTGGCTCACTACAACCTCTGCCTCCTGGGTTCAAGTGATTCTCCTGCCTCAGCCTCCCAAGTAGCTGGGATTACAGGCACGCATCACCACACCTGGCTAACTTTCTGCATTTTCTTTTTTTTTTTTTAATTTTAGTAGAGATGGAGTTTTACCATGTTCATTAGGCTGGTCTTGAACTCCTGACCTCAGGTGATCCACCCACCTAGGCTTCCCAAAGTGCTGGGATTATAGGCATGAGTCACCGCACCTGGCCTGACATTGAGTTTTATAAAAATAATGAAGCAGGATAGTGGGGGTATCCTGAGCTGATCAAATCTGGGACTCTTCCCCAGAAGGAACTCAAATACCTGCAGTCTAATTTCAGGGGTAAATGAGTTAGGTATGTAAGGAAAAAAGGAGGACGAGTTAAGTTCTAAGGCCAAGGTGAAAGGAGCCACCTTCTAGATTTCCAAAAGGAAAAGTCTGAAATCTCAGCCCAAGAATGATCAAAGATGAACAGTTTGGTAAGCCGTTTCTCTGGGCAGGGTGGGGAAGATGTAAGTTGTTGACCTGTGTTAGAATTAATGAAGAATTAAAGAGTGGGGCCTATTACCTACTGACATTTAATGACTGTTTTCTCCATTATGGGAAATTGTATCCAAAAGGTAGCCCTTATTTCATGTAAACCTCTGCAACCACTTGAAAGGCACTAAGCGAAAGAAATACTTGTCTTGTTAACGAAAATAGAAATATCAAAATACCATATACTAAAAAAAATTACACAAAGAAAAAAAGATTTTTCTGCAAATTCGTGCCTTAAAACTGGAGGTTATGAGATAATAACAGATGCTATTATAAACTGACCCAGGAAAACCAGATGCAGGTTTCACTCTCAAATGCTTAGGTGTTGGGGTGACTGGCACTAAGGATATACTAGGAATAAAACAGAATGTCTAAATTCCCACTTCAGGAAGAATGGCATACATTACCTTTGTAAGTCAATTTGTCTTTCTGCTGGTGCTGCCTTTTTGGCTAAATCTTGCAGTTTGGGTGCTTTGGCATTACCTGCTTCCAAACCCCCAGGGCTCTCCTGACCCACTGCGGCTCTCTTCCTTCCCTTGTTAATAGGTTTATTTAGATCATCATTTTTGGTTGCATTGCCCTGAGATTCAGACTTGGGTCGACGTCCTCTCCTGGGTTTGGAAGGGGCAGGTGGTCCCGATTCATCTACTTTCTCATCTGTTTTTTGTTGGATATTCTCTGCACCAGCTGCTGTTACTGTTCTTTTCTTTCCTCGGTCACTGCTGATGTTGCCCTGGGTAGCCTGATCAGAATTAATTTCCTAAAAAAGCACAAAACAATTCCATAAACACAAATTCCTTAAATATTAATAATCTCTATTAGAAAAGAGTGCTTTGAAAGTATTTTAAAGGAGTCTGGATTCGAGGGCTTCCAGTTAACTGCTTACATCACATTAGGAAAGTAAGCTCCTTGAGGAGAGTGACTGTGTCTGGTACCCACCATGGTGAATAGCATATATAATGTGCTCTATAAATGCTCACTAAAAAGCAAAGGCTGGAACAGTGGTTCACGCCTGTAATTGCAGCACTTTGAGAGGCTAAAGCGGGAGGATCGCTTGAGCCCAGGAGTTCCAAACAATCCTCGACAACATAGTGAGATCCTATCTCTACAAATAATTTTAAAAATTAGCTGGGCATGGTGGCTCATGCCTGTAGTCCCAGCTGCTTAGGAGACTGAGGTGGGAGGAATGCTTAAGCCTGGGAGGCTGAGGTTACAGTAAGCAGAGATTATGCCACTGGACTTCAGCCTGGGTGACAAAGGGAGATCTTATCTCAAAACAGTAATTGCAGGCCTGGCACGGTGGCTCACACCTGTAATCACAGCACGTTGGGAGGCCGAGGAGGGCGGATCACCTGAGGTTGGGAGTTCAAGATCAGCCTGACCAACAAGGAGAAACCCCGTCTCTACTAAAAATATAAAATTAGCCAGGTGTAGTGACCCATGCCTGTAATCCCAGCTACTCGGGAGGCTGAGGCAGGAGAATAGCTTGAACCTGGGAGGCAGAGGTTACAGTGAGCCGAGATTGCACCATTGCACTCCAGCCTGGGCAACAAGAGTGAAACTCTGTCTCGGGAAGAAAAAAATTGCAATAATAAAAATATAAAGCACAAATAGTACTTGAAAAATAAAATTTACTTGGTTTTGTTGTTACACTCCATCCAAATGAAAGGTTCTTCTTATTGATGGTATGTACTAAATCTGTCACTTTTTAAAAGAAAAGTATTTTCAGAATTCTACATGCTATTAATGTTTTCTTTGTCTATAAGTACATCTAAGTATAATAATCTTTGTAGTTCTGTAACGTGAAGTTCTTTAACTTTTCATCTCATCCCAGTTGCAATGAGCTGAGATCATGCCACTGCCCTCCAGCCTGAGTGACAGAGAAAGACTGTCTCAAAAACAAAACAAAACAAAAACACAGAAATTATTATTTTAACTGACATAATTCTAATTGATTAAAGAGAAAGAGAGTAATACAATCATCGAAAAAATTAGATTAAATCTTTTTAATTAACTAATTTTCGTTTTCCCCAGAAAATATTCCCAGAAAGACAAGGGAAAATAAATGACAAATCTTCCATGTTTCAAGAAAATTTAGTTCAAAGAAAATTCCCAGGAGTAACAATTTAAGTGAGAAAACCCACAAATCAGTGTTTTACTTTAGAGTTTCCTTTTTTTTTTTTGAGATAGGACCTCGCTCTGGTTGCCCAGGCTGGAGTGCAGTGGCGCAATCTCAGCTCACTGCAGCTAAAGTCATTCTCCCACCTCAGCATTCCTAGCAGCTGGGACTACAGGCAGATACCACCATGCTCAGCCAATTTTTCTATTTTTAGTAGAGATGGGGTTCCACCCAGTTGCCCAGGCTGTTCTCAAACCCCTGGACTCAAGCAATTCACCTGCCTCAGCCTCGCAGAGTGTTGGGATTACAGGCGTGAGCTACCGTGCCCAGCCTGGAGTCTCCTTTAATGTTAAGCCTCACTTTAGTGAACAGATAATCCATGAAAGGACAAGAGTAAGACGGCTTGCAGGAATTGAACTGTGAAAACAATACATAATGGATCAGAGAAGAAATATGCAAAGTCATCTTCGGGAATGATGGCGACTGCTGGACATAACGGAACGGATCAACAACACGACCAAGTATTGGTCTAAACACGATCAAGGTTTTAACCTGGAGTAGGAACCACTTGTTCAACTGAAAGTTTAATAGGTGTGGGGGTTCTTGGGCATAGATTGAGGAACAAAACAGGTATGGTTCTTCATATAGGTTAGTACGGTAGGTAACTGATTTTTAAAAAGGTAAATAATTAGGCACACACCTGTGTGCTAACAGGGTAAAGAAGCTGAGTTAGATGAGACAAGGATAACAAGTTTAAAATGGGCAAAATATGAACAGGCAATTTACAGAACAGCACATCAAATGGTCAATAAACATACTGGCAGTCAGAGAAATGCAAATTAAAGTAGCAGGGCATTAGATCTGGTAAGTGGAGACAGAAAAAAATTCAAATGAATCTTAAAACATGTTGTTGTTGGTATACAGAGAAGAAAGTACTCTCATACCCTGCTGCTAGAAATGTCAAGTGTTCCAATCTCTCACGAAACCAATATGGAAATATCTAAAAGCTCTAATGCATTTATCCTTTGACCCACTAATACTACTCTGAGATATTCAGCCCACAGAAATAAAAGCACCAGTAAGTGTGCTTTCTGTACTGTGGTGTTTGTGGTATATATATATAGATATAATATTATACTATACTCTTTTTTTTTTTTTTTTTTGGTGACGGAGTTTCGTCTTGTCATCCAGGCTGGACGTCGCCGGTGGCACAATCTTGGCTCACTGCAACCTCCGCCTCCGGGTTCAAGCAATTCCTCTTTGCCTCAGCCCTTCAATGAGTACCACTGGGATTACAGCGAGCATGGCCACCATGCCCCAGCTATTTTCGTATTTTTAGATGAGACTGCGCCCCCCCCCGGGTTTCACCAATAATGGGCAGGCTGGTCTCCGAACTCCTGACCTCGTGATCGCCCTGCCTTCAGCCTCCGCAAAGTGCTCGCGGATTACAGTGTAGCCACCGCACCCGGCTGCTTGTGGTATATTTTATTATTTTACAAAACATAAGTTTATAAACAAATAATTTACTATGCGACATCATAGTAGGAAAAAGGAAAAGTCTATGTGTGATACAAACTGTGAAAATAAGATTAACTTGTTAAAAGAAAAAAAGAGGAGGCCAGGTGCAGTGGCTCATGCCTGTCAATCCCAGCACTTTGGGGAGGCCTGAGGGAGGCAGACACCTGAGGTCAGAAGTTTTGAGACCAGCCTGGCAAACACAGTGAAACCTCCGTTCTCTATAAAATACAAAAATTAGCTTGATGTGGTGGCTGCAGTGCCTGTAATCCCAGCTACTCCCGGCGAGTCTGAGGCCAGGTGAATCGCTTGACCTGGGAGCTGGAGCCACATGAGGCCTGAGATCATGCCATGCACTCCAGCATGGACCAACAAAGGGAGCATCTGTCTTCAGGAAAAAAAAAAAAAAAAAAAAGAAAAAGAAGCGTTGAAATAAGGGTTTGGAGCAATATTACAGATCAAGCTGAAAGGAAGGTTTGGATATAATAGAAATTAGAATTCAAATTTCCAATTTCAAAATTACATAGACTTTTAGGAAAAGGCCATAAAGGTAACAGATTGCTGGTTGTACTAGATAAACACTTAGGCCTTTGCAAATGTACCACCCTTTAGTAAGTATTGTAAGTATATGATGTAACTCAATGTCTATGGCAATATGTATTTTTGTATGTAAGTTTGTTTAAGTCAAGACTGCTTAATTTTACACAAGGATCCCACAATATTCTAATCTATTGGTATCTGGATTCTAAGAATTTTGATAGTAAGAGGTAACTTGTTACCTGAATCCATTGACATGCTGTGTTTCAAACCCCAAGCAAAAAAGAGTTTAGATAGCAAGAGATTGATCTAAAAATGTAACCTTGAGTGGGCATGGTAATCCCAGCACTTTGGGAGGCCGAGGTGGGTGGATCATGAGGTTAGGAGTTCAAGACCAGACTGGTCAAGATGGTGAAACAACATCTCTACTAACAACACAAAAATCAGTCGGGCACGGTGGCAGATGCCTGTAATCCAGCTACTTGGGAGGCTGAGGCAGGAGAATTGTTTGAACCCAGGAGGTGGAGGTTGCAGTGAGCTGAGATTGTGCCACTGCACTTTAGCCTGGGCGACAGAGCAAGACTCCATCTCAGAAAGTATCCTCATGTAGCTGAGTTCAGAAAATGAGAGTTTGGATAGGAAAAGTTAAGCTACTGTGGTGTAACTGCATAATCCTAGTATCTTTCATGTATGCAAGGGTAATACCTAAAATATTTGATGACCACCGTAAGTATATGGCGAGCAATAAAAAGATAAGCACTTCAAGAATATGATCCTGGGTGGCGGGGGAGGGGGGATACTTAATAGTATTTTCAAGCCATTCTTACTGAGATAAATTACCAATTTCATAACAGTTGAGTCAGACGCGGTGGCTCATGCCTGTAATCCCAGCACTTTGGGAGGCCGAGGTGGGTGAATCACGAGGTCAGGAGTTCGAGACCAGCCTGGCCAACACAGTGAAACCCCGTCTCTACTAAAAACACAAAAATTAGCTGGGAATGGTGGTGCGCACATGTAATCCCAGCTACTCAGGAGGCTGAGGCAGGAGAATTGCTTGAACCTGGGAAGTGGAGGTTGCAGTGAGTTGAGATTGTGCCACTGCACCTCCAGCCTGGGTGACAGAGTGAGACTCCGTCTCAAAAAACAAACAAAACAAAACAAAACAAAACAAAAACAACTGAATAGAAGACCAGAGAAGTCAAGCAACCTGCTCTAGCCAACACACAGCCAGTGAGTAGCAGAAAAAAGAGGCAAAAGTCAGATCTGTGTGATGCTCCTATCAATTATGCACGACTCCTTTCTCTCTTGTCAAAAAATTAAGAAATTGGGTTGGGCATGTGAGAACCAGTTTCAAAACAAAACAAAATTGGGTGGTATAGTTTAAAGATCAACAAAAAAGTCAAGCACGGCTCACGCCTGTAATCTCAGCACTTTGGGAGGCTGAGGCGGGCAGATCACCTGAGGTCAGGCATTCAAGACCAGCCTGGAGTGGCATGATCTCAGCTCACTGCAACCTCCACCTTCGAGGTTCAAGCAATTCTCCTGCCTTGGCCTCCAGAGTAGATGGGATTAAAGGTGCATACCACCATACCCAGCTAACTTTTGTATTTTTAGTAGAGATGAGGTTTCACCATGTTGGTCAGGCTGGTCTGGAATTACTGACCTCAGGCGATCTACCTGCCTTGGCCTCCCAACGTGTTGGGATTACAGGTGTGAGCCACTGCGCCCGGTCTTTTTTTTTTTTTTTTTTTTGAGACAGGGTCTCACCCTGTTGCCCAGGCTGGAGAGCAGTGAGTGGTGCAATCTCGGTTCACTGCAACCTCTGCTTCCCGGGTTCAAGTGATTATAGTGCCTTAGCTTCCCAAGTAGCTTGGACGGCAGACAAGTAATTTTTTGTACTTTTAGCAGAGACAGGGTTTCACTTCAAGTGATTCACCAAGTCTCACTCTTGTCGCCCAGGCTGGAGTGCAATGGCATGATGTTGGCTCACTGCAATCTCCACCTTGAGGGTTCGAGTGATTCTCCTGTCTCAGCCTCCTGAGTAGCTGGGATTACAGGTGCCTGCCACTATGCCCGGTTAATTTTTTTACTTTTATAGAGACCAGGTTTCGCCATGTTGGCCAGGTTGGTCTTAAACTACTGACCTCGTGATCCGCCCACCTCAGCCTTCCAAAGTGCTGGGATTATAGGCGTGAGCCAACATGCCGGGCCTCAATTCCTATTCTTTAAAAGAGTTGAAATGGGTAGTATAGGAAAAGGATACCATTATGGGTGACCACATAAATTTTTTTTTTTGGAGGCAGTCTCTCTCTGTCACCCAGGCTGGAGTGCAATGGCGTTACCTTGGCTCACTGCAATCTTTGCCTCCTGGGCTCAAGAGATTTTCCTGCCTCAGCCTCCCGAGTAGCTGGGATTTCGCTGCCAACCACCACGTCCTGGTAATTTTTTTTTTTTTTTAGTAGAGATGAGGTTTCACCATGTTGGCCAGGCTGGTCTTGAACTCCCAACCTCAGGTGATTTGTCTTCCTTGGCCTCCCAAAGCGTTGAGATTACAGGTGTAAGTCACTGTGCCCAGCCAGACCACATAAATTCTTATAAAATAAAGTGGATGGAGGTAAGCCAAATCATTTTTGGAAAGTGTAACAAAGTATAGCCAGGGGTGGTAATACACACAAGTTTAAAATGTAGCATGTGGATTAACATGTTGGCTGTAGATTTCTTACCCCTATGGAAAAACTGTCATAATCTCCATGGAAAAAATCCACTTGTTAAATTTTAAAATTGGCCGGGCGCGGTGGCTCAAGCCTGTAATCCCAGCACTTTGGGAGGCCGAGATGGGCGGATCACGAGCTCAGGAGATCGAGACCATCCTGGCTAACACCAAATGAAGCAACAATAGCAAGATTTGGATATTCTGTAGTTACAGACTATTGCTTTAAAAATACCATTTTCCGGCCCGGCAGCGGTGGCTCAAGCCTGTAATCCAGCACTTTGGGAGGCCCGAGACGGGCGATCACGAGGTCAGGAGATTGAGACCATCCTGGCTAACGCGTGTGAAACCCCCTCCTCTACTAAAAAAATACAAAAAAACTAGCCGGCTGAGGTGGCGAGCGCCTGTAGTCCCAGCTACTCGGGAGCTGAGGCAGGAGAATGGCGTGAACCCGGGAGGCGGAGCTGCAGTGAGCTGAGATCCGGCCACTGCATGCCAGCCTGGGACAGAGCAAGACTCCATCT